AACTCAGATTCCAGATCAGCAACTGTTATTAACAATTGCAAATTAACTGATTAATCTCATCTCTCAATATTCACATCCATAATATCAAATAATAAATTCACCAAACTATTTTCTAATAAACATTTGAGGAAGAAACAATGGTTGCAAAGGGGAACAGTACTTTAATTCCCATTATTTCTCAAACATCTATGTGCAAGTTCTAGACTAGGATAAAAGTGCCAAAAATGGATGATCTTTATAATCTAGATGAGTTTATATAAAGTATACAGAGAAGCTTTAACTGTTAGAATTACATGACAATACTGAGGCATCAGAGATAGTTTTCTTAGCATTTGGCTGAACACATTCAGTTAGAGAAGATGAAATTGAGTATTGATCAAGATACAAAAGAAAATCAGTAGTCATTAAGTTTACCTAGGTAGAGAACAGGCAAATAGTTTGCTATGTCCTGTAGGTTCCCAAAGCCCATCATTCATCTGTTACTGCATTTAACACATTGTGTGGCAGTTTGTCAGTCTCACATTGTAAATTCCTGAAGCCTTATTCATTTTTTGAGTGCTAATTCCTAGCACAGAGTCCCTCATACAGAAGATATTCAATAAATGTTTCTTGAAATGGCAATTTAAATCAATGTACCTTATTTAAATCACTGTACCTTAAAACCTACACTTTTTGTGCAGGTCATTCATTGTCTTTCAACTCCAAAACCACCACTCTAAACTCTGCTCCATATACAACTATTTGTCACCAACTCTTCTGCCAGAAAGCTTCCTGTTAGGTTTTGTGAATGCTATTAATAAAAGGAGACTGGAAAGCAAGGAGAGAGGACAGGTGATTTTCTTCCAGTTCCTGGCAGCAGCAATTAGCTCCAGGTTAGAGCTCCTTTCATTCTCCCAGAACTGAGACCCTCTACCTCCTTCATGAGAGGTAGCAGTAGTTGAGCACTGCTGACCAGGTCCACAACCAGGCTCCTGGAACCTCTCTTCTCTGAGCTCTTAAAGGCTGACTACTGAAATGTTCTCTTTTTAGTATTACACCTATTCAACCAGCTCCCTATATTAAATCCTCTCTGTTAAAAACACTTATTGAAGTTTGTTTCCTCTACTGGTTAAATACAATGATTATAACTGCCCTTTGATGATTATAACTGCCCTTCTCTGAAATGCTTGCTGCTCCAAACAGGGGGAACTAAAGCAAGTGCTATTCTGACAAATAAAAATTATTTTGATTAAGGATAACAAAGCCCTATTTTTTTTTTTTGTTACAGTGAAGCTTAAGTCATTAAACTTTGTGATTTGAAGTATCCAACTTGGAAGGAAAATAGAGGGAATGCAAAATATTTAAATAATGTAAGCAAGTCCAAGCACACATGTGTAACTCCTTTTACCAGAGTACATATACTGAGAATGTACGGGACTAAGAGATAATCTGCTATTCCTCAGTGGCCTCAGATCCTACTGTGAGCATGATGTCATACTAAATAAATGGCCTACTGAATATGCCAATAAATGGCGTTATTTAAAGACATTTTTTTTTTTTGCTACTGCTCAACAGAGTCCCTAAATGTAAGGTAACTATTTCATCTAGAGTTCAAAAAGGAAAGGGCCATCAGTTTCAAAATTGAAGCTGAGCTGACTTATTGGTATGCTTTTCTCCCTTCCTCAAGGATTTTCAAACATAATTTCTTATTACATGTGATTTTCATTTTACACACTAATTTAGACTCTGACTTCTTCATAAAATACTGCACAGAAATAAACAGAAATTCTCCCTTATAGAAGAGCCCATACTAACACAACCGTTGAAAACAAATGACCAAAAGCTTTTGATTTTTTTTTCCTTATGGTATATTACCATATGAAATGCCCTCATTGGAAAATTTATTTTTTTAAAGATTTATTTATTTATGCATAGAGAACTGGGGTACAGGCCAGAGGTGCAGGGACAGTGAAAGGATTCACCAGAGACAGAGTGGGGAGCAGAACGAAGTACAGTGGGGACTGACGAAGTGCACTGCTGAGGGGAGCAGTGGGCGAGTCAGGAGAAGTCTGCTGTGCCATGTGGATCACCTCCATACTGAAGTGTCATTAGCTTCCTAGTGTGGTGCTTTAATCCGCTGCACCACCAGGGAGGGCAGCGGATTAAATATCTATTTATGCATACAAAACTGGGTTATAGGCCAGAGATGTGGGGTGGGGTCAAGAGGATTCACCAGAGACCAATTGGGGAACAGAACAGGTGGACTGAATGAAATATACTGAGGGAACAGTGGGTAAGACAGGAGAGGTCTGCTGCACCACATAGCTTAACTCCCTGACCAGGGATCAAACCCATGTTGTAGTGGTAGCAGACGGCTTCACAGTGCTGAGACTTAACCCCTTGTGCCACCAGAAGGCCTCATTGGACAATTTAACCTGAGGTTAATTTCAACAATTTTTCATTACTGCACTTAATAAACTGTTGTTGTTTCTTTTATTTTAACAAAATGGTAGCTATGTAGAAGCAGCAAACGTTATTAATACATTCTCTCTAAATGAAATGTGAGAAGGCAAATTCAGTCAACAGGAATCTCTGGTAAGTTTTAGCTATGTACATAGCTGCCAAGCATCCACAAGGACCTATCACTAGGTCTAGACATACCTGCCTAACCACTGTAAGGCAAAGACCATGAAAGAAAGTCTAACCTTTAAAGTCCATGGTTAGTTCTACTAGAGTCCCCCCATACAGCACCAAACTGGACAATGAGCCACCTAACCACTTAACATCTGTGAAACCAGGGCTCATCACCCCACTCCAGTCTATGGAGCCTTTACTTAAGTAAGGATCAAAAGCCATAACACCGCTGTCAGTATATCCATGTAAAAATCAACTAAACTGGATTCCTTACAAGTGAAACAGAGGAGCCTTCTCACAATACCTACAAAAGGGGAAACAGGGAATGCATATAGTTAATATGTATCCCAGATTATAAGGGGCCCACTGTTAAATGTAAATAAATATTCAATAATGTAATCTTCTGTAAATTAAATTTCAGAGAAGTGGGAAAAAAGAAAATTAATAAAACTGGTATCTGATGACAGGCTCTTCCACAACATGGACAATAAACACTAGTCAAAAATTAAGTATAGATCTGTTTTGAGCAAAATTTAACTCAATAATTTTTCCTTTTTCAAAACCTGTGAAATGTTTAAGTTTCTCACGATTTAATAAATGAGTTCTTACAAATTATAAGGTACTTTAAGTCATACTAGAAATGCTGCCATAATTTCAATAAAGTGCCTTTTAATGTCTCTTGCCAGAAGAAATTATGCTTCTTTGCTAATGTACAGAAATGAAACTGTCACTGAAACATCTGGCTATATATTATTCATTAGACATACATCACATTTACCCCAAAGACTGCCTATTATAAACACAAACCATAAGCAAATCATAATAAAAAGATAGACCTGACACGCACACTGAAGGTCAGTAAGAGACATGAAATTCCAAAGACATTTGCTGATCTGCCCTACATTTCTATCCACACAAACATGGGAGTGTTTAACTGTTCGTGTCCTCCACACACGCAAAATTCAAACTTCTCAATTTTGAATGTCTGTCCTGTCCTCATTATTAGTGACTCTAATTTGAAATTTTACTAAGCAGCACATTTGAGAACATAAGCACATTTTTCAAATGCTCAAATGGAGTAGCCTACTCAGGCAGTTTTCCTTAATAAAATTCTCCATTCCACTCTCACACCTTCCATAATTAACCTCAAATGTGGATTGCACAAGAGTTTCTGAAGAAGTACTCAAATCCTCAGGAAAAATTAGTACCTATATTTGCAGTGCTATCCCTGGAAAATGGAATCTTTATACACATATCCATTCTTTTGCTAAAAAATGTGAAATGCACAGTAGAGATTTTAAAAGATACCTGTTGATTTTGACAGCAGAAATTTCAAGGGGGGAAGGAAACAACCAACAGTTGTATTGTTTTCCTTTAATTTCTTTATAAATCAAAGGGTCAAACGTCACTGTAAGAACCAATCTACGTTATCAAAATATTCAACAGCTATACCCTAACACAGAGAAAGAAGATAATTTGCCAATACACTAAGTATTTCAGCTAATTGCCTTGGAACTACCAAAAGGATAGATTATGTAATACAAATCAAGCACCCACTAGCTTTAAACAATTCTTAGTTTGAAACACTGAAACCATGTCTGAATTCAGTTTTTAAAAGAAATCAAGTACACTAATAAGGATAGCAAACCGATCCTTTCACGGTAACCAAATTTCTTTACACACCTTAAGGGAACTGTGAGATTGTCAAACCGTTTTTACAACGTAAAAGCACACATTCTCCAAACTTCTGACAGCCAAACAGATATCCCAAAAGGCTTCAAGGAGCTAAACCTGTAACTGGTCTTAGCGGGCAAATAACAGGAATGAACCTCAAAGAGGGAGAGATCAATTTTTACTAACAGTATCTTTGGGAGCAGGAAGGCGGTAAATGATCCTGACAACCACGACCAGGGCTCCCCGTCGACACCGGGTACCGAAGACCCCGGCGTAGACCACTAGGTTCAAAACGCGAAGCTTCCTACAAAAAAACACCAAGACACCCCCTCCCCCTACGACCCGGGGCCCCTCCCGGGCCACCTCGCGGTTTTGGAAAGCAGCAACAGATACTCCCGAGCGGGCCGGGGCACTCCAGGAATGTTTCAGCACAGGGGGTCTCCCGCAGTCCACACGGAACCCCGACCCCGCAGTGGGGCAGAGAGGGGACTCAGCACAAAGCGCCCGACCCCACCCCCACGCCGCAGACACACACCCCCGGCTGGGAGGAGAACTCGGAGAGAAACCCCGCATTCCGCGCGTTCACCCGAGGGGGGTCGACGGAAGCCGGGCCCCTTCCCAGTGCCGCAGCCCCCGCCTCCGCGCCGAAGGGCAGCTAGGGGGTCCCCGCCAAGGGGAAACCCCAGAGATTCTCCTGCGGGTCCCCAACAGACCCGACTCAGCACCCCCGCCAAGACCCTCGAAGGAACCCGAACAATAAGAAGCCGCCTCCCCCGCGTCTCAGCCCGACAGCGGCCGGGGGCGTCGGCGCCATCTCCCTTCACGCCCCCGCGGACACACAGACACACCGCCCCCCCGGCCCGGGGTCGCGTCACCGCCCGCGCCCGGTCGAGCGGGCACACGTCCCGGCTGCCGCCGCGCGCCCTGCCCTCCCCGCTTCCACTTACCGGCTCCGGCCCCCGCTCGGGCTCCGCTGGCCACGGCCAGCGCTAGACTCGGATACCAGCCGCCGCGGCCGCCGGCGCCGCCGCACAATATGGCGAGCCTGGGCTTCCGCAATGGAGCTCGGGAAATACAACAGGGGCCGCTCAATATTCATGAGAGACCGAGGGGAAGCCGGCTCGGCCGGCGCCGCGGGGAGGGCGGGAAGGAGCGAGCGAGCTGGGGGCGGAGGCGCGGGCCGGGG